TTCTGGAAGGATTTCTGCACTATCAATGAAAATGTTTCTCTTATTTGCCAATTTTGCTATTACCACTGCCTGGTTTCAGTACTGACGGATACTTTATGCCTTTTCCCATTAAGCTTTTGCTCACCTTTATGAAGTGCCATTAGGATTATTCCCACTGACGGGGAAACAGGGAGGGTAACATTCTGCCCACAGACTGGACTGATAATACAGGTGAGACCGAAAATCAGATGCCCTGACTCTGCCTCCTCTCTAACCAGCAGGATAATAACAAATAACACAAATCCCCAGCTTTTTTTAAATGCTTTTCACAAAGGAGTTGCAGAGGAGGGTGCAACTACCCCCTGTAACTTAGCACTAATCTACAATTAAATATACTAGTTTTTACAGTTAAAACCAAAATCTAATGTGAAAATACTTGATACAATGGGCCCATTTCTCCTTGAATTTTCTCCTGTGAATTATCTTCTATTTTTAGGTCTTTTATTTTTAGGCTGCTGCATGCTATCGCTGGGCAACTCGACCAACTATTAATTGGAAATGTTTTGCTTCTCATGCAGTTTTATTTCTTTTCTTTCTGCACCACTTAAAGCAAACTGTCCTCCGAGGAGATGACAGGCTACAGAGAGCACATTTAAAGGACAGTTACAAGCTGTGCTCTTCGGGCGCAGTGTGGCACTATTATAAACCTTTTGCTGTTCTCTCCTCCTACACCTGCGTACGTTTGTGTCTGTGCATGCATTTTTCTTAAGCCCTGTCAAACTTTATGGAGTATTAGGGCCATATGGCAGCAGTTCAGCAAGCTCTCAGTATGCAGCTGAGATTACAACACTCCCTGAGCACAGTCGGTGGAGTCCTCTGACAATATCCGTGTGCCGTATACGGTGCTCGGTCATGACAAGTAGGTCCAAATGATCTGACATGGGGAGGGGTGGGAGCTGGAAAACCCAGCAGGGCACTTCACGGCTGCAGGTCCCCGCATTTTTGGCAGCTGCGTTATGGACTTTCTTCGAGGTGCTGTGCCACCCAGCCAAGTTCGAAGCGGAACTTAAGAGAGCAGTACATGATCATAACCGCTATTTTTAATACCATTGTCACTACCTTTCTCAATAACCTAGACACCAGAAAAACACTAATTTCTTTCCAGCTCCAGAGCACTACTACACTAGTTTGAAATACTGTTCAAACTGAAGTCAGTGGCAAGCACAAGTTGGGAATAAAATCAGCCCCCATTCAACTGGCATTTCATTTAAAGGGACTTAACATTTGCTGGGATATTTAGCTCTGCAAAGCTCACATGCCTTTGCAAGCTACCACTTTAAAATGCAAGCTAAAAATATTTGCGTTATCTGAAGTCAGATGAATAAATCCTCCCTACTGCTGGGTACACAGTGTGGCAGTGTACAATACAACTGCAAATTTATTTGTTAGAAACTGTACATCTGTTATGATTTACGCTTGCCAAAATATAATTTTTTATGGCAACAATTGTTTCATGGTGCTTAAAGTTTTTCACCTCTGTGCCAGGAATCTCATATGGGATAATTCCATGACCTTGGAATCCAGCAGATACATTCCACATCTGTCTGGTCTGGGAAAGCCCGAGTTTGTTGTGTGAAAACCAGAGTGGGAAAATAAGACCTGGAAATATCTGAAAATACAGAAACGGCAGGGCTGCTTCTTTTTTTCTTTTTTTCTTTTTAATTACCAATTTTAAGTGCAGTAAATCAATCTCCCAGAAGCAGTTACTTTGCTTTCGTAAGCAGACATTCACTTCTGATCCTATCTTCAAATTAAGGAATATGGTATAAACATTAAAATAATTCTATCTCTGGAAAAAATCACAGCCTTTAAATATTAGAACTAAATCTTGTTGAAGGCTGCTTGAGATTTAAATGGAAAAGCACCCAGCCTACTGCAAGTAAACATCTTACTGGTGCCTGCGAAGACATAGGATGGCAAAAAGGGTGCAGCTGTCCCAGAATCTCAGGGTAATACTTTTCTCATTAGACTTTTTAACAAAAAATGAACCATAAACAGCTTTGTGAGCAGTGAACTTAAAAAGTCCTGGTTTCCTGTGACTCTTCCCTGTGCACATTTTCTGTTATTCTCGTGACTTGGCTGAATTCCTGCT